GTCATGGGGGAAAAAAAGCACAAACTGCCTTATATACTTACATAGTTGTACAATTTAACATTTTATCATAGTAAAGCAAAGCTTTTTTAGGCCTCGAAAGGCATCAGAACAACATTTCAGAAAGTTGAGTTTAGAAAACAAACAAGTATGCTGCCTTCAGGGCTAAGCACGTGGATTTCATGGGCAGCTTGTGCCTTGGGGCCAGGTCCTGTCACAGCGCAGCACAGCAGGCCTCACACTTGCCTTAAAAATGCCAGTAAGCTTCTGTTAACCTTACTGTTCTGTTAACCTTACCGGCATTGCTTTAAGGAGGTGTGAGATGCAGTTTCTTCAGCTCCTTAAGTCACAGTATTAGTAAAGTGGGGTGCTCAGATTAGGACTGCCCATTAGGAGACGTGAGAGGGTGTTGACTCCCTCTGAACACGAGCTCTCAATAGGATTTTCATGTTGTAACAGAAGTGGAGCATTTGGATATACATAGTGGAGCAAAATACTGTGCTCAAATAAGAGGCAGCTGTAGCTGTGCTTTTAACAATCTGCACTGCACTTAACAGTGAAGATGGGTCAGAACAAAAATCCAGAATGACTGTACATGTCAGAATGAGCTTATGACAGAAAGGGCATTCACTCCGTGGTTAGCAGCCTGCTTCTTGAAAGCTCTGGTGCAGAAGTTTGTGCCATGTTAACTGTTTGGGCTTAGGATGCATGCACTGTGCTACAAATCCCTGCAGTAGAGCCTTAGGGCAACAAGTGGCCACCACAAGCTCACTTCAGAGCACCTTTTTCCAAATGATTTCCAGAAAATAAAATGCCACTGCAGTAAACTGCAGTAGTCTACTCCTGGCCATGCAACACTGGAAATAAATAGGATTAAATTTTTAAAATAAAGCTATTCTGAAAATATGGCCTATTCTACATGTGCAGTGTGGCTGATTCATGCACAGAGCATTCCAACCATTTAGTGCCACCTTAATCCAAATAATGAGCTATGTCAAACACAGGGTAAGAGGCTTTTTTAAATTTCACCAAAGAAACTTATTTAGAAATTGGATTAGCTGGTCTAAAAATTGTACTGAACCCAGACTTTTGGGAGAAAGAGCACGGGATAGAATCATAAAAGTTGGAAAAGATCTCTAAGATCATCTAGTTCAACCTTCCACCTACCACCAACCATGTTTCTTAGTACCACACTTATATGTTTCTCGAGGGTATAAGTCAAACTAAGAAGGGGTAAAAATAATATTTAAAAAAAACCCAAAATTTGACCACTGAAGATTATTAATGGTGAGGGTGTTTTGCTAGGAAATCTTTGCTAGGTTGGATCTTTAAGAAAATGAAGACTGGCTAGACTTCCGAGAGATTACAGCTGAAACAAACTGTAATTTCTGCAAACAGCTAAATTCTTTCATTTCCAGTACACGGAATATCTGATTAAAAGGTCAAGATGGGCCCTGCTAACCTGTAAATGTGTAAAACATCATCACTACATCAGTGGGGAACCAAAGCAGAGATAGTGAGTAATCGCACAGGAAATTTGTGGTTGAACCAGAAACTGAACCCTTGATTTCCTGAAATCCAACACTGTACTTTAACCACAAAAAGCATCTTCTGCTTTGAGAGGGAAGAAAATCTGATAATGAAGTTTAATGTAAAAAAGAGAAGCAGATGATTTGAATAAGAAGACCTGGATTTAAAAGAAAAAAAAGAAAGAAAAAAAGAAAAGAAAAAGCTTATTGAAGAAATGAAAATTTACTTAAAATTATTACTTAAATGTTTAAATACTTAAAATACTTAAAAAGAAATTTCATTAAATGTTCTGTTTCTAACAGGGAGGTTGTACAGATACAGCATAGAGATCCAGCCAATATCAGTGATCATATTAAGAGTACATTTCTTAATAGAGGTCCAATATACTTCTGAAACAGCCACAAAATAGAACTGGTCCCTGGGGCTATTGCAAAAAGAGACCAACTACAGTACTTGCCATACTACAGAAGACAGGACTGAACAGATAGAGTACAGAATAAGCAAAGCATATGCATTTCAAGTCCTTTCTGATGACGGAGGAAAGGGTCAACTATTGCGGAGATTAGAATAAATCCTGTAGGACAGCTTTCTGCTGTTACAGTTATCTGCATTAAGATCGTTTATAGACAGCAATCTGAAACAGCATACATTATCTTTAAGGACACTTACTAAGTTCCTCCAGCTATCAGCCAGGATTTACGTGTGGCTGAGTATTTACACTCAATTAAAGCTTAGGAAACTATTGAATACATTACAAGTAGAGGATGTGTTATGCAAATGTTTTAAATCTTATCTGATATATTAACTGCTTACAAGAAAAAAAAAGCCATGAGATAATTTTCTGAAACAAGAATATCCTTTTGTCTTTGCAAATGTATCTCCATACATTTCAAATATGCCACACTTGATTTACGCCTCACCTAAGACTATTTTTCTACACACCTAAACAATTTTGATCCAAATCTGGTACGCACATTACACAAAGCGAACATTCAACTGACTTGCAACCATCGTTACTATTTGCAAGGCTATTACAGTGCTTTCAAAGAGGGTAGGAAACATAACAGAAAGGAAAAGCAATTCTTATGGGTGTCTCTTAAAATACGCAACAGAACAGAGAATAGAATAAAATCAAATATATAATTAAAAAGAAGAAAAAAAACCAGCAAAAAAAAAAAAAAAACCTCAAAAAAACCAAAGCACACACAATTATATACTATAGCACCTTAACTCCTCCTCACCCGCTCCCCCCATGATGCTATAGTAATTCTTTCTTACTGCACGGAGCAAAAGGAGCTCTGTCATACAGCTGTAGCTCACTTGTCTTGTAGGCTCACTGGTTTGGGTAACTAGCAACACGGAGTGTATCTCCAGCCCTTTGACACTATGCAACTTGACAGATTTTACACAGATGGGCTAGAAATGCATCTGTATGGCAGCAAAGTAAACAGAGAGCCATGGCCCTTCACATGGGAATGGTTGCTATTCTGCTGATTAAATTTGTGGACGCTTAATAGATGGAACAGGATGGGAATCCAAATATTTTCAAATCACAGCATTTCTCCATAGCTGCATCTATTTGCTACACTGATCCTGAATCCTCAAGGACTGAAAGGGACAATATTCTGCCTGACCTTTTACTTTGCCTTCTTGTAAATAATTACCCCACACCAGACGTAAGCATAATGCAGAACAGCTGTAGAACTTCCTTTCTTTCCATCTTCAAGCAGCAAAATCTGCTTCCTAGCTGCTTGTCAAAACTAGCAGAAACATCTCTCTGGAACTTGGGCTACAACAGTTACTGTGCCTTTGCAGCATAGCATTGTTCAGCTCATCACTTAATACAAAAATACTGTCTATCCTAAGCTCACTGTTACGAGTGAAACCAAGCTCTGTAATGCATTAAAAACAGGGCTGCTCTTACTCTGCATTATTTTCAGAGGAAAGAAAACTGCCATTCTTCAAGACAGAGGAGAGTTATTCTGTCCCCACTCAAGTGGAACCATAACAAATGAATCACACTAATGTTTTCAGCACACTTCCAGAAAATACTCAGTTTATTTTTCTTATCTGCTTACAGAAAGAGAACTCTTTAAAAAGTCTAAAACTAAGACCTTGAAAAGGGTCCAGCAAAGGATTTAATGCTCATTAATGCTCACTAACAATAAGGAGAAACACAATGAAAAATATTTCCTAGGCGACGTGTTCAGACCAACTCTCAGCTCTCCAGATAAAAAAGAAGTCCTGAAAGGCAAAAAGTGACAGAAAGCCATGAAGGGCTACCATCAGTTTTATTTACTTACTAATGCTTTGTGAAAGCAAAAATGTGACAAAGCTTAGAAATAGACAGTTAATTTATCTTCCCTCCTATCTGTAATAACTTTTCACAAATGTCACCTCTAACAACAGAGATGACTATTTCATGTGCCCTGGCAGCTGAAAATGATACCCTGACCAGGCATACAAAATTACCCTGTACTCATACTGAAGACAGGTCACAAACTAGAACAAGACATCAACAGCACTTTTAATGTATCAATTTATTGCATATGTCAGTACATAAAAATAGAAAAGTGGTTTTTGTAAAATTAATTTTATTGTAAAAACCAGACTAGAATGAGAATGTAAAACTTTGCCACAATTAGCACATATACAATAACATTTATGCTTCATCTACAAAACTTAAGAATATTTTATTATGACATTTTTCCATTAACTATACACTAAAGAAAAATCAAATAAGAGAGCTTGAATCATTTATTCAAATGACTATTCCTGAATTCAAAACATGAGTGTTGTTTAGAACTTGAATATGCTTTCTCTATCTACACTTCTGCAGGATTCTACTCTGAATTATACAAGCAGGATGGCACTGTAAATTATTCTCAGTGGGATACACCAGGCTGATCCCACCAGTGCAGGAGGCACTGCTTTTGCATTTGACAGATGTATCCTTAGGAAAATCACTTGTTATTAACAAAATAAAAATAGGCCTTTCAATAATTAAATTATGGAATAGAAATGGAGGTACGTCTGCATCTTTTTGCTAATAGGAGAACATACCTTGGTATTCAGCCTTGTATACTTCACTAGGAACATTCAAGGTGACACAAATGATTAGCTAAGAGATGCTGATATGCATATTCTATATAAATAGTTAAGCCATTTGCCCTTCATCTGAGAGATTGTCCATAACCTACCAAATGCATTTGTGCTATATTTCTAATTTTACCTGAGAAATGGACATGAGGGCAGTTTTATCAGTTTACCTTTTTCTTTCATTCCCATCTCAAACCATAGCTTATCTCTGCATTTCACAGTTCAGAAGCAAATACCAGGAATGTAAACTTGGGTCAGCAGGAAGCCTCAAGTATTTCCACTAATTAATACCAAACACACAAGGTCTTGTACTAGATGATTCCTTACATGGACTCTACAGCTCCATCACTCCACCATTCCTCCTCCACCCCTGGACTTTTTTTTTTCCTTTTTTTTTTTTTAAACAAAGTTCCTCTTATAAAAGGGACAATTCCTTTAATGAACATATTCAATGTGAAAGGCTTTCTTACAAATCTGTGAAAATAAATCAACTTCCTCTTCTCAAACTAGAAACATATATATACACATACAACAATCACTTGGGAAACATTTATACACAAACAGAGAATTGGTATGGGAAAACATATAATGGAATTAAGTGCAATAAATGCAATAGTATCTTAAGAATTTTTGGCAATATGAAATTATTACTATGATTCTTGCAATGTACTGTCTGAAAATGGCTTTCCACAGAAGACGACCATGAGTTGCCATCATACAGACCACAAAACAAAGCAAGTCCTGTTTTGTCAAGCTACAAGATTCTTCTTTCTTTTCCCTCAGATCATATTTACAGCATTTGAATATTTGCATAACTACTTTCTTCCTGTCTTCTTTCAGTGGCTTTCATAGCCAATGCAATGAAAAACAGAATGGTAATAGGCATTCATCTGCATGTGGATGTGTCCGATGTATTAAGCCCATTTTTGCTTCTTCCTCATACGGAAAGTGGAATACATTAAGTATGCATATATGATGACTGCATCTTCTCGGTATTTGTAAAACCAGATATCTTTATGTCCTGCAGACACTATGGTGAAAAGATATGGCTTGATAATAAAAAGTAAGGTTTAAATACAGTGCACTATGAACAGCTCCTCTTTACTATAACCCAAGGCCACACAAATGACATTGACGTTAACTGTGGGCCCAAACGAGAATATTCATTTGTATGGAAATGCCACATAATCCAGAAGGCTGGAAGGGAAATGGAGGTGTTCTGGGTTGATGTTTTTGCCTGCCTATTTGATCTGTGCAAAGTGGAACAGAATCTTTACTTAGGAAATTCACATATAATGACAAATACAATAGTGTTTAATGGCAAGCTATGACAACTTTTGAAACAACTATTTATCTGTATTTAGTCTTCCAGTAATTTTTTTCTTTTCTTTTGGCTTTATCACTTGTTTTCAGAAAAAAGCAGTACATATCCACTTATTTTTCTTTCTCCCTTATCCCTCCACCTTAATTCAAAAGTATTATGAAATAACTGAAGCAATATATCATGGGTGACAGAAGAACCAGCACTGTTTTTTAAAACACCACAAAAAGAGAATGCTCCTCAGTCCACCCAAATCAAATGGCACCAAAATCTTTTCTTCAAAAATCTCTGAAAAAAGAAGACCATTGTACATTTGAGGACATGGTTTGTCAAGTTCTAAGCTATACTTGGTCTACAATGATTTTAAGTCTTCAGGTTCAAAAGCGTCTACACCTTCTTCAACCATTTCTGAATGGATCTTAGTAATAGAATGACAAAATATACTTACCAGAGTTAGAAGCAAATTCTGGTATGTATGCTTGTTTAAAAAAGAAAAAAAAAAAAATAGAAAGGATGATATTGAAGTGTTTATAATAAAATAAGTATCATTATCTGTAATCTTGACAACATGCATGTCCACATAATAACTAATTCCATGTAAAAAATTGGAGGCATAACTACTGAAGTACTAGTTCAGGAAAGCAGTTTTATTCAACAAAAGAACTTATGCTCAAGCTTAAAATATTCTGATGCTTTTCTGAATCACAGCATCATGGTGAAAAAATAATTTTATTTAAAAATTTCAACCTCAAGGGAAATTGTACAGGTTTGGTGTTGGTGGAAGACTTTTCCACAGCTCTTCCCATAAAAATTGAAGAGGCAAACTCTCAGCTGCAGCAGATGGGCAGTTCAATCTATAGAATAATTTACACAACACACCCCATTAAACTGAACTAATACCATGCAAGTTTGGAAAGATTACTTGGAAAAAGCCAAAACCTAACATCGAGTCAGAATCACGCTCATTCAGAGCATTGCTGGCTCTGATATGATATGATCCTAAAAAATTCCAGTATAACTAAAGAAAACTCAGTTCTACTGCCTATGCATAGGCTACTTTCACACCACGTGACAGAAGTGCAAAAAAAAATTAAATTTGTTTTATAAGCAAGAGAGTATTAATGTTCTCCAACTAATCTTATAGCTGTTAACGTGCTGCTCATTTTTATTACTCTTACTGTAATGCCAGTCTATGTTACTCCCCAACTGTAATCACTGGTATTTATTTAGATTTATTTATACCTCCAAAAGAAACAAAGGGCACGGATATTTAAAACCAAACACAAATAGGTAACTTGCGTGATGCTCCCTTCCATCACACTGACCACTCCGCCTTAGGAAATCCTACCTCAGGTATATGGGCTGACAACACCAACACTAACTTTCAGGCAAACAGATGAGAGATTTAGTTGGAGAGGACCTTTAGAAGTCAAATCATACTGCTCTCTTTTTGAGTGTTACCTCTATCTTTTACGAAGAAACTGCCTGGGCAAAATCCACCAGCCATCATATTCAGCCACTTACAACTTTATAATTAAAAGTGGGCCATACTATAATACAAACAGTAAACTGAGAACAGGGAAAATGTCATTTCCTCTTCAATTGCAGTTTGAAATATATATATATAAATGTGTATGTATAACTGTTTTAAAAAAAAATAATGAAGGATGGTATACTTGTGAGTATACACTATCATTAATGTTATTGTACATTATTTAGCACATTAAAAGACTTCCCACCTTGCATAATATAAAATTTCAAGGAATAAAACTATCTCATGCATGGCACAATTTAAATAAACTCCAGAAGAAACAACAAATCATTGAGCTAACCATGACTGTCCATAAAGCTCACACATACAGCAGTGAAGCCTCCCATTGTTCTAAACTAACATGTTCTGTACTATTCTTGTAGCAAGTTTTTTTTTTTTTTTTTTCTTTTAATAGCAACTGTTGTACATATCAAACAAATGGAGTATTTGGACAGATATCAAAAAAGTATGAGAAAGACATAAAATGGTTCATTTACAATGCTGCAAATGTAAAAGTTATCTGGAACATCTTAATAAAGCATCAGACCTTTCAAAGTTTAATTTCACTCTTCAGGCAAGTACAGACATGACATACATTTAAAAATGGGCATTCTTTTACCACTTCTCACAAACCAAGACACAGTGCAGGTATAGCCCTACACCAAAGAAGAATATCAGTTATATTATTGTTACATTAGATGATGTTTTTGCCATTTCTTCAGAGGAATGACTCTTTATTACATCTTTGATGAACTGTTCGAGTGCAGTGAAATATCCCTGGCACTGCCAAGTGTCATTATGAGTTCCATCAGGAAAAATTGCCAATCTCTTAGTCCGAGCTGGGGATAATTCATAAAGTTGCTTCATCATAACTGGTGGAATTAACTGGTCAGACAACCCAGAGATGAAGAGCGAAGGCATTCTGCACTGAGAGATTTTTCTGTAGGACAAAAACTTATTTTTGTAGCACCATAAAGGAAGGTATCTCATTGGAAAGAAAGAAAACAAAGTGCTGGCCATGTGTGGGATGCTAAGAAAGGTGTTCTCAACCATGATGGCAGATATCCTATGGGAATTTTCAGATGCTAAATGAATAGCTACTGCTCCCCCTAAGGAACGGCCAAAGAGAAAAATTTTTGTTTTATCAAGATCAGACCGAGTCATCACATAGTCTAACACAGCCTCAGAATCTATGTACAGGCCTTCTTCACTTGCTTCTCCTTCACTTTTTCCATACCCTCTATAATCAACTAGGATTAAGTTTACTTTCAGGTTTACTAGCATTAACAAAGCATTTGGCAACCTGTGGCCAATGTTGCCTGCATTCCCATGAAAGTAAATGATGGTTGGAGAATATGCTGCATTGTCCCCCGTGTATCTCAGCAGAATAAGATTGAGAAGAACTCCATCTTTGGTTTTGATGAAGATGTTTTCATGTGGTATACCAGTAGGCATAGGAACATAAAGGCGTGATGAAGAGGGCTGTTCAGGAAAGTAAAGCAGCATATCCTGGAATTTATATAATATACCTGCTATTGACACAAATATTAGTAAGAGTAGTATGATGCCTCCATACAAGTGGAAAGTTACTATCAAAGGTAAAAGAGAAATACGGCAGAGACCCCAAGACCAGGAAGCCAAAGCTAGTAGCCATCTTTCAACAAAGGTCCAAAGCATCCGTGACTTTTCCATTGTAGTAGTCAGTGATCTTCTACTTCAAGTAAATCCTATAAAAAAATCCAAAGAGAAATATAAATATAAGAGAAAAAAGAATCTCTTTAATCTTCTGGAAATATGAAGGCCTTGTTGTACATCATTACACAAAAGCATAAACATTTTACTTGATGGGAAAACCCCTTCCAATTTTTGGAAAACATTCAGATCTGAGTAACAAGTAGAAAAGCAAACATAAGAAAAAGGCTTTAAAATAATCCTAAATCCCAATTACAGAATCTCAACGGGCAATATCTAACAGTAGCACTAAAAATTAATTTACTGGAACCTCAACCTGCATTTTCCTTCATTTATCCCTGCTGTCCACAACAGAAAACATACACTTTGGTTTGTCAAAAGTTCTTGTAAGTAATTCTAGAATCCAGGGAACACAAACAAAAATAGCTGTTCTTTCTACTCTGCTACTGATTAAGTAATGTTAAGAGGAACATTCAGTAAGCCTATGTACTTCACTCTGCAACCAATCAAGGCTAACAGCACACACGTAGGGACAGCTATTGTTTAGTTGTTGTAATCACAGTTGATCAAGGTTGTGCAACACAGAGTAACACATCAACCTATCAGAAGAAAGAAACTCCATTACAACAAGATACCACATGGTGCTTACATTTATAACACATTTTGCTATTTTTTTTTTCTTAGTTCTGATTTATAAAGACAGCTGTATGCTCTCAGGTCTGTAAGCCATACTGAATCTGTAGCTAAATGGCACAATTGTCATCATACAAGACCACTGAGAACAGTAGCTACCTATGTTATGCTACCCTGACCGATGAAAAGCACAACTGTTGGTAAGTCCAAAAAGAAAAGACACATCATAAACATACAAAGCATAAGATGACAGTGACGTCCTAAAATAAAGGATTAAATTCTGTGGATCAGGCTGAAAAATGTCACCTCTATAAGCCACTCCCCAGATAAGCATGCAAAAAGTCCAGGAAAAACTGCCATCTTTTATGCAATTATTACAAGTAAATCAGAAACAAATCTGTTACACCTTAATATTTGCACATTTATCAAGTGCAATGTGAAAAAGTTTTTACACATTCTATCTACTCCAAACGTGCAGAAGTGAAGAAATAAGAAATAGCTTAGAGAACAACTATTCCAACTCAGTTTTCTTATATTATTTATGAATTCATATTCAGTATCCACATTCATGTATGCACAGATGTTGCCTGAAAACAGACAATTTAGGACAGAGGATATTAGGTATTTCCATTTCTAACAGAACTTTCTTTTGTCATAGGTAAGCTCAGAAAACATGGGTTAGATGAATGGACAGTAAGGTGGATTAAGAACTGGTTGACTGGAGCTCAGTGCTGTGATCAGTGGCACTGAGTCTGGCTGGAGGCCTGTACCTGTTGGTGTCCCCCAGGAATCTGTTGCATTCAACTTATTCATCAAGGCACATGAAAGCAGAGAGCACACCCTCATCAAGTTTGCTGATACCAAATTGGTTGAAGAGGCAGATACACCACAGAACTGCACTGCCATTCAGAGAGACCTGAATAAGCTGGACAGTTGAGGGAAGAAGACCATCATGATATTCAATTAAGGGCAAAAGCTGGATCCTATACATTGGGAGGAGGAACCCGTGTACTGGTACAGGCTGGAGGCCAACCTAATGGAATGCAGCTCTGCACAGAAGGACCAGGGAGTCCTGGTGGACAGCAGGCTGATCATGAGCCAGCAGTGTGTCTCTGTGGTCAAGGCCAATGAGATCCTGGGGTTCATTAGAAAGAGTGTTGCCAGCAGGCTGAGGGAGGTTCTCTTTTCCCTCTACTCAGCCCTGGTGAGGCCACAACTGGAGTACTGTGTGCAATTCTGGGCTCTCCAGTAAAGGCATGGAGCCCCAGCAAGCCCAGAAGAGGGCTACAAAGCTGATTAAAGGGCTAGAGTATCTCTCCTACAAGGAAAGGCCGAGTGAACAAGGCCTATTTTGCCCAGAGAAGACTGAGAGGGGATCTTATTAATGTATACAAATATCTTAAGAGAGGATATCAACAGAATGAGTTTAGGGTATTTTCCGTGGTGCCTGACAACATGACAAGAGGCAACGGACTCAAACTGAAACACAGGAAGTTCCAACTGCACATGAGGAAAAACTTGTTTACTTTGAAAGAGACAGAGCATTGGGACGGGCTGTCCACAGAGTTTATGGCATCTGCTACTCTGGAGATATTCAAAACCTGCCTGGATGTGATCTCCTGAACAATGTGTTCTAGGTGACCCTGCTTGGTGCACTGGGGATAGACTAGATGATCCCAAATGGTTCTTTGCAACTTCGACCATTCTGTGATTCTCTAAGTGGACAAACATTTCCTACAATGAATTAGAAGACCAAAATTAGTAGCACTGGTAACAACACAATAAAAACACTCCTCCTACACCTCCAATTCAATTTTGCTTCCTTATGAAAGAAAATAGGGCCCAAAAAAGCTTTCTCAACAAGATGTGCCCAAAAGACGAATAAAAATGACTAATAAAAAGGTCAAAAATGTTACATAAGACAATAAGATATTTTGTAGATGGCTATTCCATGTACACTAAGGATTGATAGTAGGAAGTAGGTAAGTTATAAAACCAGTTGTGAGTATGTTAGCTTCATTTCTGCATAGCTTCATGTTTTTATTTCAATAAGGTAATTCTATCAAGGTGCTAAACTACTGAAATACTGCTGCTATACTTTGCTACTGGAGTAGAAAATACAATGTGCCCAGTAACTAGAACTCAATGTAATTCTGTACTACCGAAGTGCTATTACACTTCATCCAACAAAACAACTATTACATTATTAAAATATGTATGTGAAACAACAGGATTTCATAAATCAAACCTTGATACCAGAAACCAAATTCAGCAAATACTAGAAGCATACACTCAAAATATGTAACCTACCTTTAGACTTTCTTCAGACTATACAAACAAAGCTCTACTGCTCTTTTCTGAGTCACGATTACAATTAGAATTTTGTTTATCATCTAATTGATTCAAATTTCCTCCTGTCTTTCTGATAAAGCTATATAAGAAAAGCCAGCTTTTGCAAAAGCTTTTTTTGATTATGCTTGTGATCTTAAGGAACAAGCAGAAAACAGCCTTAAAATACTAAGTTCTTCTTAGGTAAAGTTTTCTGCTGTAGAACAGAAATGTGGCACAAGTTAACATTAAGAACTATCTGAAATTAAGACATAGCCAGAAGGCTGCTGTGCTTCAAACAGTGCATCTTGTTTAAAGACCAGTAAGGACCAGTTCAGTTTACAAAGCTGCAAATTGTATTGCATCTCAAAACATAAGTGAAATTTGGCAGCCCTGAGTTGCTGTCTTATCTACCTGTCTTCACCGCTGAATCTATTGTTCAGGAATTATTGCCACTGACAGACTTTTGTGTTTCATCAGATAAGCTACACGTTTCATACTTAACTAACTACCCAGAGCATAAATCAATCGTAATAATAAAAACTGTGAGAAAAAATTGTCTTTATGACCAAAATGTTTAAATGGTATTCTGCTGTGCTCTAAAGCAAGTCTTAAATGGTTAATATCATTATCAACTAAGTCCATAAAAACTTTTGAACAATTATTCACCCATTTTGAACAGCAGATGAAACTGTTCTTGTATTTGCCACAGGCTTAGTCAAATTTGTGATCTTTTCCTATGTTTCTGCTACTGAAAAAGCTATTTTACACGCTAATTACATTATAAAACATTTACCTTTGGATGTGACGATTTTCCGTGCTTCATCTCTGCCTGAAAGACAATTTCATTTGGGAACTTTGAGTAAAATTGTTTTTTGCGTTACACACAATCAATGTTTTTAATTGTTTATTTGAAATAAGCTTCAGGAGTACTGACAGCCAGTACTCTTAGAAGTTATGCACTTGACTCACTGATGAAGCCAAACATACCATACTCAAGCTTTTGCACGAAAGAGCTGATAAAGTTGAAAACATCATTTGATAATGTAGTTTGAGAAACACTCTGAAATGCCTCAGACTACATACATTATATAGCATAAAGTATGTATAGTATGTAATAATAAAGTCATAGTAGATCTACAGTGCCTCCAAAACTTAATCTTTAGTCAGAATATGAACACACTTAGAGTTAAGAACAGCAGCATATCTGATCTCTTCAAAGAGCTTCAAAAATGTTAAATTTTAACAATCACTGCAGCACTTAGGATTTCTTCATAGCTTTGAAAAAGAGGCTTTTTTTCAGAATACAGAGAGAAATCTGAAGATACCTGTTCTATCATACTATAATTTCTTCCTCTACGCTCCACCTCCTCCAGGCAAGTTTTACACAAGTTTAACATTTACTCACAGTCCTTCCAAAGGCTTCCGTAAGTAGAAATACTGAGTCCTCAACTATCAAAATACAGATCCAGAGAAAGAACTAGTCCAGAAAAAAAGACCTACAAGAAATTTAACAGCGATGGGAAAACTGCACACTCTTGATTCTAAAAATCTTATCAATGAACTCTCTCAGGAAACAAAGCAGCTACTCCTACCTGAGCCAAAAGTGGAGCGTGCACAATACAGCATCAGACACTTAAGGGCTGTTTTCTGGAACCAGAAAGCCACTTTTCCTACCAGAGCACACTTCCATAGCTCTGCATGAAGCTGCGCACGCTCATGATTGAAAATGTTATTTTCTTAACCTCCATTATGCTCTTCGCTCATGCACAACTGACAAATCCTCATGATTCTTACAAGGATATCCCAAATTATGATGGCACTGTGTTAAGGAAACAAGAGCAACAGCAAAAACGAGGGCTGTTACTGTCATAGAGCCTTGGCATTCTAGTGAGTACGGACTCTTAAAATATACTACTTCCATTTTTACAGCCTGCTCAGTCTTTTCCATCTATTCCCGTGACACGCTAAGGAGAAAGAAGGCGTCATCTCTTGCCCTGCCTTATTCAAACACCCCCGCGCACAGGGCTGCGTCACACAGAAACTAATGAGGCCTATGGGGGGGAGGGGGGGAAACACGTAGCAGCCTCTGTTTTCCCGGGGCTGGGAGGAAGGCACATAGAAGAGCTGCTCAGAGCCGTTGGGACAGACGCCCGCGGTCAGCCGAGCGGAGCCGCGTCCACCCACACAACAGCCGCCGGCTCCCAGCGCGTCCACGGCCTCCCGCGGCGGAGACCCGGATGCCCCCGCCGACCGCGCCAGCCTCCCAGCGGGGCAGACAGGAAGGGATCAGACCCACCCGCCTCATCGTCCCGCGGTGACCGCCGCCGGCGGAGCCTCAGCCGAGCGCGACCCCAAAGCGCAACTTCAACTCCGTTCCTCCCAAGCCAGGAAGGCAACAGCCGTAACTCCCGCTTCCGGGTCAGGCAGTGCCCACTTCCACTTCCGGGTCACGCCGCAGCCGCCGCTTCTCCTTCCGTTTTCTCCTTTCTTCTAGGCGCTGTGGCATCGCCGCGGTTTCCCCGCAGCAGCGCTCTTTGCGCAGGCGCAGCGCGGTGGTGGCGCTACCGCCCTGCTCCGCCCCTTCCGGAGTAGGGGAGGGGGGCAAGGCTGAGCGCAGCGGTGCCGGGCTTTGCGCTTCCTGGATTCCGAGTAAGTCTGTTTGGGGCCGGCAGCTCGCGGCGGTTCCTTTCCGTCTCACCCAGCCCTCTTCTCCTCCGCTTCTGCTCTCGAGAGAGGCGGGCGGGCCTCGTCGTGACTGTGGCAACGGTGTGATGGTGGCAGTGGGCCTGCCCGCAGCAGGGGTGTGTACTGAGGGGTACATCCTGTATTTATTTTATTGTTTTTTCGAGATGGAATAACGTGCTGGCATCTCCTTCCTTTACAAACGTGTGTATTTTTCTGGTTTAGTGAAAAAACCTACCCAGATGGCTTCTGCACCCGCCTCACAGCTTTCTCCTAAAAGAACAGTGGCCTCGCATGTGCCTTTTGCAGACCTGTGTTCCACCCTGGAGCGAATACAGACGTGTAAATCCCGGCCAGAGAAAACCAAGTACTTCAAGGATTTCTTAGATTCCTGGAGAAAATTCCACAGTGCTCTCCATCAAAAAGAGAAAGATGTCACTGATTCTTTCTATCCTGCTATGCGGCTTATACTTCCACAGCTGGAAAGGGAAAGGATGGCGTATGGAATTAAGGAAACCATGCTTGCAAAACTTTACATTGAACTGCTTAACTTACCAAAAGATGGAAAGGATGCTGTGAAGCTTTTAAATTACAGAACGCCCACCGGTTCACGTGGAGATGCTGGAGACTTTGCAATGATCGCATACTTTGTGTTAAAACCCCGAAGCCCTAAGCGAGGCAGGTTGACTGTAGAGCAGGTCAATGAACTGCTGGATGCCATTGCAAACAACAATGCTGCTAAAAACAAGGGACTGGTAAAGAAAAGCCTTCTTCAATTAATTACCCAAAGCACAGCACTTGAGCAAAAGTGGCTCATCCGGATGATTATAAAGGATCTAAAACTTGGTGTTAGTCAACAAACGATATTTTCAATTTTTCATCCTGATGCTGCTGAATTACACAATGTCACGACAGATTTGGAAAAAGTTTGTAGGCAGCTGCACGACCCCTCTGTATCACTTAGCGATGTTTCTATCACGTTATTTTCTGCCTTTAAACCAATGCTTGCTGCTATTGCCGACGTCCAGCAAATTGAGAAGCAGATGAATAACCAGGTATTCTACATAGAAACTAAACTGGATGGTGAACGTATGCAGATGCACAAAGATGGTGATGTGTATAAATATTTTTCCAGAAACGGGTTTGACTATACTCAGCAGTTTGGTGCTTCCCCCCTCGATGGCTCATTAACACCATTTATTCATAACGTATTTAAAAGTGACATACAAAATTGCATTCTTGATGGTGAAATGATGGCTTACAATCCTGAAACGCAAACCTTTATGCAAAAAGGAAACAAATTTGACATCAAAAGAATGGTAGAGGACTCTGATCTGCAGACCTGCTTCTGTGTGTTTGATGTATTAATGATAAATGATCAGAAGTTGGGTCATGAATCCCTGAGCAAAAGATACAAGATCTTAAGTAATGTATTTACCCCAGTAACAGGCAGGATACATGTTGTACATAAAAAAAGTGCCAGGACAAGAAAAGAAGTAATTGATGCTTTAAATGAAGCAATAGATAACAGAGAGGAAGGCATTATGATAAAAGATCCCATGTCCACCTACAAGCCTGACAAACGTGGGGAAGGCTGGTTAAAAATCAAGCCGGAATATGTCAATGGGCTGATGGATGAGCTAGATCTTCTTATTGTTGGTGGTTACTGGGGAAAAGGCTCACGTGGTGGAATGATGTCTCATTTTCTGTGTGCTATTGCAGAGACTCCAGCTCCAAATGAAAAACCTACTGTATTCCACTCTATTTGTCGTGTTGGCTCTGGCTACACTATGAAGGAATTATATGATCTGGGTTTGAAACTGGCTAAACATTGGAAGCCTTACAATAGGAAGGACCCTCCTTGTAACATTTTGTGTGGCACTGAAAAACCTGAAATGTACATTGAGCCTTGTAATTCTGTCATAGTTCAGGTCAAGGCAGCTGAGATTGTTGACAGTGATATGTACAAAACTGACTGTACTCTGAGATTCCCCAGAATTGAAAAAATAAGAGAGGACAAAGAATGGTATGAATGCATGACTTTGGACATGCTAGAACATCTTAGAAGCAGAGCAGAAGGGAAGCTGGCATCCAAGCACCTATATATTGATGAATATGATGAGCCACAAGAGAAGAAAAAGAGAACTGTACCAAAGGTGAAGAAGGTAATTGGAATAGCTGAACAGTTTAAAGCTCCTGATCTTTCTAATGTCAACAAAATTTCCAGTGTGTTTGAGGATGTAGAATTTTGTGTGATGACAGGAACTGGAAGGTACTCCAAGTCTGAACTGGAAAGCAAAATAGCTGAATGTGGTGGCAGTGTGGTACAGAACCCTGGACCTGACACTTACTGTGTCATTGTAGGAGCTGAGAATGTCAGAGTTAAAAACATTATTGCTTCCAACAAATATGATGTGGTGAAAGCAGAGTGGCTTCTTCAGTGTTTTCAGTCAAAAATGCTGGTACCTTGGCAGCCAGCCTTTATGATTCACATGTCTCCTGACACAAGAGAACATTTTGCTCGTGAGTATGATTGCTATGGAGACAGCTACACAGCAGATACAGATGTTGCACAACTCAAGGAAGTGTTCTCAAGAGTGAAGGATAATAAGAAGATGCCTTTGGACTTGATTGCTGAGTTAGAAGAACGGTATTCATGGAACAGCTGTCAACTGTGTATATTCAGAGGAAACACTATTTATGTGGACTATTATGCTATTATTAACAAGCCCAGTACCAAAATCCATGGCACAAGACTATCAATTAGAGCTTTGGAGCTCCGTTTTTATGGTGCAAAAGTAGTTCCTATTCTTGAGGAAGGTGTGTCCCATGTTGTTATAGGAGAAGATCATTCCCGAGTAAAAGAGTTGAAAGCTCTCAGGAGAATGTTTGGAAAAAAATTTAAAATTGTATCTGAGCTGTGGGTAACAGAGTCAATTAAGGAAGGAGCCCCAAAGAATGAAAACCAGTTCTTAATTTAAAGTGGTTTTTAACCTTAGATTAAAAGTAATCTTCTGGTCACAATTGAACTGGATATTATGAGTCTTAAATTTTCTTTGTGTTTTAAATCTGTGGCTGAAGAATAATGCTATTTCTGGAATTGAAGGAAGGCTTGTAGCTGTACTGTCATGGAAGCAAGGGAATGCAAAGCTGGTGAGAGTAAAAGCCACAAGATAAGTAGTGTAAGCCTTTTACTTCAACAACAGCTCTCAGAAGAGATCTAGAGAATTGCTAGCTATGAGCAATGCTTGCCTCTGTTGTTCAAGATGGACACAATAACTATCTCATGGAAATTTTACTTTATTTATTTATTGATGATGAGATTCATATATTTTTAAAAAGAATATGATGTATGTATGGTATGGTGCATAACTGAGTAATTTATAAACTTTCTTTGTGCTGTTTTACTTTATTTACATTGGTTTTAGTATTAAGTTCTGTGCAACCTCAGTACCACTTTGGTTTTAGGATATTGCATTGATCCAATGTTTCTTTCTATAAACACTGTAAAATAGAAATCAAACTTCATACTGAGGTGCTAATAAATTCATACTTACCTATATATCTAAACTACAAATTAATTACTTAACTGTAATGATATCTTTTTCCATTACAGTTCAGGTTAAACCATCAACCATGATGTAACTGGGCTTTTACACTTTATATTTCAAAAATGTTTCATGTGCTTTTTCAGTAATGTGCAATGAATTTCCAGATATTTACTTGAACGTATATTTTTTTAATAAAATATTTTTTAAGTCTGCCTGCTTGTTTATTTATTTGTTTTTAAGTGAGAAATAACTCTTGAAAAATATGAAGTACTAGTAATGTATTTCCTTTTTTTTTTTCAAAGCTATGCAAGGCTGCGGAAGCTAAATCTAATAATTTCTCAACAAGCTTCATAGTCTTCCTACTGACTCCCACAGCATATTAACAGCAGGTTTCTTTTTTAAAAATATCCTGTGGGTTCAGTATACTGGTTTCGTTCATGTCTCTTTTTGTGTTTTGCCTCAGTTGTAATTAGGGCTAGAAATTAGTTTAGAAATTAGTTGTTCTGCATGTATATTTATATGTAGCATGATAGTTAGTATACTAGGTAATGTCAAATAATTTTGTTGGTGTATTTTCTTCTTTCAGTTACTTTTTTGCAAGTTTACATTAAAATGTTTAATAAGAAATTCTGTACTTCATGTATCAATGTAATAAAGGAATATTTAATTGGTCTTTAGGGATCCTCTGTGGATGCTTTGGTGACTGGAATTTATTGCTCTGTGGATGAGGTGTATATATCTAGAATATAGGCTGGGGGAGGACACAACAGAATCATTTCTCATGGCAGAATAGAAACT